CTTCTTGTTGAAAAAACTTTATTATTTAACTAGTGGAGCTTGCAAATCTGGACAAAACTGCACTATATTTTTCTTTCATTAACCCCAAATTCTTGGAGTAGCTAACAAGCTAATATAAGCCTGATTTTGACAGATGTTATTATTCCATGTGAGAATTTTATCACTTCCTCTTTGATAAAATGTTAGGGACAAACCTGAAGCAATAGATAATCTTTTTTGGACTAGGGAGAATATACTTTATTTTTGTTATTATTATTATTTGGGCCTCTGAGGGCACACAGATTGTGTCTGCTAGTGCCTTCAGGGAGAACAAGACCAAAGATTTAACTCCTGTCCTCCCTTGCCTGTTTGGGGGGGATTTAAAGCTTGAAAATAAATGTGTTAAGGTCAATCATCTATTTTTAAATTCTAAGCAGACAAAAAGGGCAAAAAGCATCATGCTGATGAAAATTGGACTGCTGAACCTTAGCTGTATGCTATAAGGACCAAAAGAATTGAGTCTTGAGCTTGGGCTGAGTTGTCCAACCTACTATAAATCATAATTAAATCATGGAGTACAAATAAATACAGCTTTTCCTCCAAGACAGACTGAAAGCATCCTGAATGTACCCTCATTTTTACATATTCTGCAGCATTTCTTCCATTCCACTGTCATCTGTAGTGCTCTGCTATTGTGAGTTTCCTAGGAGTTTCTATTGATATTGCTTGCTGTGCTTGTTATTTTCTCTTGGAATGTTGGGTTGACCCTGTGAATCCATCAGAAAAATAAAGGATTAAAAGCTGACATGTACAGTTGGGAGAAGAATTTTAGTATCTATTTGCATCAAAGACAAAATCCCATTTTTTCCCCCTTTTTTGACCCTATCTTCCCATACTGGTCCACCTCTGTAAGTAATCATTTGTTTACCAAGAAATTCAGCTAAGTGGATAGAAAATAGATAATACAATTTATGGATGCAGCAAATTGAGCCTGAAGGGATTTCTCTCTATGTGTTTCAAAAGCTGGGCAACATGACTATAAGCATCTAATCACTGAATACATAGTGCTCACTAAACTTGTTCCTGCAGACCTATGAATATGAAGCTCTCCTGTGAGTAAGCATCCCAAACAACATATCACTTTGATTGTGGTTGGACCTTAAGCTCTGAGCCCATTGAAGTGCACAAACTGTACACAGGTAATAAGTCCCATTGAATTCTTTTTACATCAGCTGGGGGATGTTAAGCAAATGATGCACAATTTGATTTGTAGATATCAGACAGATACTATACACACAGCCTGGAGAAACCAGCATGCTTGAATTCTAATCTGCTACCATCTACCCCACAGATTACTTTAAGCTAGAATACTGGTACAAAGCTGTTAGCTCAGCCATCCATTTATTTCAAAGTAGATCCTAAGAAGCTGTAAGGCAGGGATGTCAAACTGCCGGCCCGCAGGCCGGATGTGTCACACCGAAACCATGCCCACCCTATTGCCATCAATGTGGAAAAGTCACGATATATCGCGACACGTCATGTGACGTTGCGAGTTTGACACCCCTGCTGTAAGGGAAGGATGGGCAATTTAACCACCGAAAAACACGCATGATTTCTCACTTTTTTCCAGCAGTAGCTTCTGCAGAATCACAAACCTTCATTTAGGCTTAGCACAGTAAAACACACCCAGTGATCGCACTCCTCAAAATCTCTGGAAATCCTTGTCATGACATACAGAAGTGGATCTTGTTACCTCTGCATCTATAATAATGTATAGTCCTTGACTGACGAAAAAAGTTGTGTGATCTATTGTAAGCCATTTTTTAAATAAATACAAATACACAAATACATAAAAGAAAAAACAGTGAGTCTGTAAATATTTGAAGTAAGTTTATTGGGGCTTACTCTCAAGTAAGATTACATCTTCTTTAATTCTAAATAGGCCTTATAGCAGTTCTCTTTTTAATTGTAAGGACCAATGACAATCAAAGTTGAATCTTTGAGATATTCTAATCATGTACATAATTGCTAGAAAATAAAATCTTGAAATCCATTCTTGCTTGGAAGCAAAATCAATTTACTTTAATAAAATGCACTTGTTCATGTATTATATATATATGATATGTTTTGAAATATTTAAGTGGTATATGAAGGCCAGACATGATATTTATATCCTAATTTTTTCTGATCAATCTATCTTCAATAAGCTTGGAAATGAACAGCATCTTGGTATAATGTACCAAATTTTATTTCATGTGCTGTTGAATTGATATTAAAAAAGTGAAAATTGGGAGGAAAATATACAGGATCTTTTGTATAAGCATATTATCTAGCCTGATTACAGATTAGATTACTTATTTAAAAGAAATGTATACAAATACAATAAACTGTTTTTGTCTAGACAATGGTTTACAATTCTTGTTAAGTGTCTATGGGACCCCCAAGACAAATCTAAATAGTGTTATGGCCAAAATCTTCTGAGATTACCACATAAAATGTCAATTTTCTTATATAAAATTCTATCTATTTGGGTAAGAATTTAAAATCATGTGAGATTTTAAATAATGCCAGCTTTCTATAAAATTTGCCCCATCTTTTTCTTATTTTCTTTTTTTGACACATTCCCTCATGTATTACTCTTCCATACCACTCACTATCCCCAAAGAATTACTGTTGTGTATAGGTGTAGCTAATTTTTTTAATCTCAAAGAAAATAAAAGCCTTCAAGTTTGATCCTACATATGTTTAGTCAGAACTCAGCATCAAATGAATTCACTGGACTTTATTTTCAATGAGTGCTTATAATACTGGATTATTGGGGGGGGGTTAGATTAAATGAACTAAAATGTCATCACTTCAAGCATTATAAATGCCAATTGGATTTTTTTTTGCAGTCATAACAACATCAATGATTCCATTTCTAATTATACTAATAACTTAAAAAAACTTCCATAGGTTCTTCTGTCAGAAATAAATAATACATTTGTTTTGATCTACCCATTCTGTAGATTTGAATACATACCTTGGGTGTGATTTTCATGAAAATGAAGAGATTTCTAACCCATCACAAGTGATTTTTCTAACTTCATTACATTTTTAATACATTCAGTGACCACTCTGAATATTATTGCCTATACAAATACCTTAGTCTACAATAAAAACTGCTATTAAAAACATAAAGAAAATTAACAAAATGAGTATTTAAGATAGGGCCTTTTTGTTCCCTTTGATCTTCTTTCTAACAGAGTCTTGGCTTACGAGGGAAGACGCTAATCATTTTTTTTTAACTATTAACAAAATATCCATCTGTTCTTGTTCTGCAATGTTTTGCAATTATCCATTTACATTCCTGGGGTCATAGAATTCTATTTCACCCATAGCAAACAGTGACAGTCTGAAAAAACTTCACTCTACCACCTCAGCCTAGATATTTGATACTGCTGTCACTACCTGTAATTCCATGTGTAGTTGATGTAGAAGTGTCCTGGCTACAGGCCTTGGACTTAAGCTATAATGTAGTAAATACATACATAAATGTCTAGTCTTCAGTGCACCATAGTTTGTGGAAGCAAATACAATGATACAAGTTTTTCACTTTGAACCGAGTTCAGAGTACAGTATTCTCTCTGGCAGCATCTAGATTCTAAAGTAAGGGTGCAAAATGTGTATTTGTGTTGTGGGCTATATAACTTGGGGAAAGACTTTTTCCTGTTTATTTGGGTATTAGGGAGCAAAATTGGCACTTTAAGCCTCATAGAAAGTGGTTACACCCATTTCATCTCTTAAATCCATCCTAGTCCCTCCCCTCAAAAATCTTGACCTATCTTAAGGCAGTGAAACTCATGTATTCTATTTAGGGGATTCAATTGAAGCAAAAACACATTGGCTGATTTTATCAGAGACATCATGTTAAACCAATGGAAAGATTTATAATAAATGAATTACCTCACTAACTATTGTCCTTTCCATTACAGGAAAAAATCAAAAATGTATAGCTCGCTCTCTTCCACACAGTGTTAAAAATGCAGAAATGTAACTTTCTGATCATCCTTTAATTGCAATCTATTGAAGGTTTTGTATAACATCCGAATAACATTTAAATGTGAATAATTTCACATTTTCTTATCCAAAGTAACACCTGGTTGTGTATACCTGTTATTCACTTTTGAGACAAGAATAAGTATATGTTACCATATATAGTCTCTATGTCTGTTTTATTTGTCACTTAGCTGGTTTCATCCTTGTTTAACTTGTATGTGTTATGACCAAAGAAATCTACTCTATACCTCTTGTTCTGTAGATTTACAGCAAAATAAGATCTATTTTCTATAATCAATGTGCTTCCAAGGAAATATACTTTGAACTGCATAGAAAATATAGAGAAAGTGCTTCATTTACTAGCAAATAGGACCAAACCTAGGTCCCAAATAATAATTAGAAGCAATATGTTTGGGAAATGGGCAGGGTATCATATGTGGTTTAATTCTGCTTTTTTTTTTTTATCCCAAAGACAAAAATAATTTGGAAAACATCATTAACCATTCTTTCCTTAGCTCCTGGCCATACTGAAGCTTCATCAACAATGCATTTCATCTTTCTTGTTCTCCAGTGTCCATATGGTTGACTGAATATCAAAGATCTATCAAAAAATGAATAGTTCAATTCATTTTTCTGTTCTTGATGATTGAAGTATTTTGTATCATGCTATGTAAAGAGGCTGTGGAAGGCATAGGGGGTGGGGGGCTTGGGGAAGCCATCATTCCTATGTCTTCCTTTTTATTTCCTGCCTCCTATACTTACCCTGTTTTGCATCTCTGCTTCTACTTTTGTTTATCCTGAATATTTCCTAATTGCAATGTTAAAAATTGATATGTGTGTCAGAGATTCTGAGCTATAAACAAGGTTTTTTCTTGACAAGAAATGGATTATTACTTTTCAAAGTCAACCAATACAAAGAAAATCAATTTTGGAATTGATTTTGTATTATTTTAGAAACATGGAATCAAGATTAATTTCATACTATACTCTGGTTTCTCTTCAAATCATATAAATCTTTCGCCTTTTACTAAAGATTTCCGTGGAGAGGAGCATTTATGAGTTTTCGAAGATTACTGAAAATGCATCAAGGATGGAATTTAGAATGCAGGAGGTAGAGAACAAGATAGAAATTACACAGGATGAACAAATCATTTCACAATATAGGGAGATGGAACACGCATTGCGTATCAGAGGCCTGAGGGAGAACCCTCAGGAAGACTTAAAGATGCTTATTGTGAAAGATATTGCTCCTAATATTGGTTGGCGGCCTGAAATAATTGAGAATGAGATAGAAAAAAATTTTAGAGTTAATTCACGGGTTGCTAGACAGAGAAATCTACCAAGAGATGTGGTTATTTATTTTTCTAGAAGATCTATCCGTAATGAAATTATACAGGCTTTTTACAAACAAAAGTTTCAAATTGCTGATCAAGACGTGATAATTTTAAAAGAGATACCTCCAAAAATTTTAAGAGCCAGAAAAGATTTTACTTTCTTGTCTGATGAGTTGAAACATCGTCAAATTCAGTTCAGATGGGAGATTCCAAGAGGAATAATAGTAAATTATGAAGGGATACGTCACAGATTAACTACTGTTTCCAAAGCAAGAGATTTTTATCAGTCTATCTTAAAAGCAAGATTGTCACCACCTCCACAAATAAGGATGACGGAAGAGTCTCTTATGGCAGGAGCCTCATCAATGATGGTTATGGAACAAGCTGCACCGAATTCTGACATAAAAGAGCAAAGGATGACACGAGCTGCCCATAAACGTAAAGAAAAAGAGCAGTTGCAGAAGAGTGGTGAAAGTTTGGTTGTTACAGAGCCTGTGGGAGGGGCAAGACCAAAAAGATCTTCGACAGCAGATCTGCAGGCCATGCTCCAGAGGCTCCAGGCCGGTGGAGATGGTCAGGTTCCTGATCTGGAATGTTAATGGCTTAAACGTGCCCCAGAAACGAAGAAAGATTTTCCATTATTTGAAACAACATAATAATGATTTGATATGTTTGCAGGAGATTCATGTAACTTTAAAGGATTCTAAATTCTTAATGAATTCCCGTCTGGGCACACATTTTACTGCTCCAGCCCCTGGGAAAAAAGGGGGAGTGGTAATTTATGTGAAGAAAACTTTTTCAGCTAAACTAATTGAGGCTGATTCTGAAGGAAGATATCTTTTTGTGGAATTATTATTACAAGGCCGAAAGGTTCTTATTGTTGGACTATATGCTCCCAATCAACAACAGAAACAATTTTACAAGTTGCTGCATGGTAAGATATCTCAGTTGGATTATAAATCGGTAATTTTGATGGGTGACTGGAATGGGGTTTTAGACCCAACTATAGACAAAAGAAGTTCCTCTAAAACTTTTATTCAAACTAAATTACCTATGACTTTCTTTGATTTGAAGGAAGAATTGGAGCTTATTGATATTTGGCGAGAAAGGAATACAAGTGATAGAGACTTTACCTTTTATTCTGATAGACCCCAGTCATTTTCAAGGATTGATTTTTTTTTTTGATTACTAGTGACTTCCTCCCTAGAGTGAGGAAGGTGAAAATTTTTCCTAGAACATTGTCAGATAAATATGAATAAGGGAACATCGATGTCTATGGTGTGGGACGCTAGTAAAGCATATATGAGGGGAATTTTGATTCAATTGAATAAAGTTTTTAGGGAAAAAGGGTCACAAAGACATAGAGAAATAGAAGAAGAGATCAAATCAAAAGAACAAGAGTTGGTTCTTAACCCTACTGATAATAATTTAAAGGTATCTATAAAGATGCTTAAGGAACAATTTAACATGTTGATGGCAGATCAGGTGGCTACCAATCTGTCGTATATGAGACATAATACTTTTTGCAATGCGAATAAGCCTGGGAGGTGGTTGGCTTATCAGTTACGAAAGAAACAGAAAGCTAGAATTATAGAGAAAGTAAAATATAAAGGTACTGAGGTTTTTCAGCAAGATTTGATTAAAAAAAGCTTTTTGGACTTTTACACAAAATTATATTCAAGTGATAATATAAGGGGTTTGGATATAGATAAATATTTACAATCAGTACATTTTCCTAGACTTTCAGAGGAACAACAAAATGGGATGAATAGTTTAATTACTGTGGAGGAAATTGGCTTAGCTATTAAGCAGTTAAAGGTTGGAAAGTCTCCTGGAACAGATGGACTGACTTCTAGGTATTATAAGATTTTATCTGAAGAAATGATAGAGCCACTAAAGGAACTCTTTAATAGTATTTTGTTGGGTATGCAAGTTCCTCCTTCTTGGAAAAGAGCTTTTATATCACTGATTCCGAAGGAAGATCAGGATCTTATAGAGCCTAAGAATTATAGGCCAATTTCATTATTGAATGTTGATTATAAGATCTTTACAAAAATTTTGGCAAATAGATTAATGCAGGTTATGAAAGACTTGATTCATAGTGATCAAGCAGGATTTATAACAGGGAGATATATGAAACATAATGTTAGACAAATTATTAACTTAATTGAGTACTTGGATAAGAATAATCAGATTCCTGTGGCTTTTATCTTTTTGGACGCTGAAAAAGCTTTTGATCAATTGGACTGGCAATTTTTATTTTCTTTGGTAGAGAAAATGAATTTTGGGGATAATTTTTTACATGCACTTAAAGCTATATATCAGCAGCAATCTGCACAAATTGTTGTAAATGGGGGATTGACTGAGAATTTTAATATTCAAAAAGGGACAAGACAAGGATGTCCATTATCCCCATTGTTATTTGTTTTAACATTGGAAATTTTATTGATTCAGATTCGGGAATCGAAGTTAATTAAGGGTGTAAAGATAAGGAAGAATGAGTATAAATTGCGGGCATTTGCGGATGATTTGGTTTTAATTTTGGAACAGCCGAATCAGGCGATTGATGGTTTATTAGAACTTATAACACAGTATGGGAATGTTTCTGGTTTTAAAGTTAATAATTATAAGACTAAGATATTATCTAAGAATATGTCAGTTAAAGAAAGGGAAAGTTTGATTAAAGCCACAGGTTTTCAGATGGTAAAAAAGGTTAAATACTTGGGAGTATATCTAACTGCTTCAAATGGAAAATTGTACAAGAACAATTATGAACCACTATGGGCAAAAGTCCAAAAGGATTTAATAGATTGGAAAAAATTGCAATTGTCATTGTTGGGGAGAATTTCAGCTGTAAAAATGAATGTTCTACCAAAGTTTCTTTTTTTGTTTCAGATGATACCTATTCTTAAAAAAGAGGCAAATTTGGAGGAATGGCAAAAGGGTATCAATAATTTTATATGGGCCGGGAAGAAACCAAGGGTTAAATTTAAGATATTACAGGATGCTCGAGAAAGAGGGGGACTTAAGGCACCCAATTTGAAATTATATTATGATGCAGCTGCCCTAACTTGGTTAAGTGATTGGCTTAATTTAACAAATATGGATATTCTTTTTTTGGAAGGTTGGGATTTAATATATGGTTGGCATGCATATTTAATTTTTAATAAGAAAGTTGATCGGACTTTTAAATCACATATTTTGAGGAATGCCTTACTTCGTGTTTGGAAAAAGTATTATTATAGATTAAATTATAAAATACCTATCTGGGGGATTCCCAGACATGCAATTGAGGGAACCTCTAAGGGGACAAATTTTGATAAAATTTCATATAAAGAATTGTTAATTTGTTCTGGTTCGAATTGGCATTTGAAATCCCTAGATGTATTAAGGCAGCAAAATATTCTACAGTCATGGTTTCAATATTTACAAATAATGGATAGATGGACTGTAGACAAGAAAGAGGGAATAACACTAGAAGATAGACAATTGGTTATTCAGATTAAAAACCAAGGTCCGGCTCATATAAAAAGAATATATAATGTTTTATTAGAGTTAGATTCGGAAACAGAATTGGTTAAAGATTGTATGATTAAATGGGCTCAGAATATACAGGAGCCGATCTCATTGGATTTATGGGAGATAATTTGGATAAGAAATGTTAAATTTACACAAGCTCAAAATTTGAGAGAAAATTTTTATAAAATGTTTTATAGATGGCATTTAGATCCTAAAAAATTATCTTGTATGTATTCCAACATACAGCCCAAATGTTGGAGATGTGGCAATAATGATGCGACATACTTTCATATTTGGTGGAATTGTAAAAAAGTAAAGGCTTTTTGGATTATGATTTGGTGGAACATTCAAAAGATTTTTAGAAAGAAGATAAAGTTTACTCCTCAACTATTTTTACTTGGTATTTTTGTTGACTTAAATGAAAAAGAAACTACTTTGATGTTGAATTTATTAACTGCAGCAAGGTTACTAGTAGGTCTATATTGGAAGAAAGATTCTTTGCCTACTTTAGAAGAATGGATATTTAAAGTATCTAGTTTTGCAGAAATGGCAAAAATTTCTGCTTATTTAAAGGATCATACACAAGAAAGATATATTACTGTATGGGGAAGGTGGATAGATTATATTCAGAAAAAATATGGAATTAAAAAGTTTTATTTATTTTATGAATGAATATCAAATATTATAGAGAATTGTTTTATAAGTTATGGAGTTAAAGGTTAATTATGATATATTTTTTTTCTTTCTCTCTTTTTTTTTTCTTTTTTCTTAATTATTATAATTTTCTTTTTCTTTTTTTTTCTTAACCCTGTATTCTGCTCTGGGAAGTGAAGGGAGGGGGGGTGGGAGTGGGAGGGAGGGTAAGGGGGGGTTCTCTATTTTAAAATTTTATTGTATTTTTATAAATGATTGTATGTTTTAAAAAATAAAAATTTTCAATAAAAAAAGATTAATTTCATACTATTACTGATTGTAAGAGTTGGAAGAGACCTTAGAAATATCTAGTCCACTTCTGGTTCCGGAACACGGCGATGCCGGTCGTGCCTGGAGACTCGTCTCCGTGCCGCCCGGAGTTTCTTTCGCTGGTAGACCCCCTAGGGCAGTGGTTCTCAACCTGTGGGTCGGGACCCCATTTGGGGTCCAACGACCATTTCACGGGGGTCGCCAAACAAGGCTGTCCGCCATTATTTCCCCCTTTTCTTTGGCCACGCCCCTGGCACCTGGTGATGTATAAGTGGTTGGGGG